GGCGTGCTGTCAGCTGACCGTCTGCTGCCAGCGCTCTGACGCAGCAACTATAAACGTCTCTGCCTCACCTCCTCCCTCCCCCCTTCTGCTCATGCTTTTTGGCATGCTCTCCCTTTCCCTCCTCCCCCTCACCACCACCCAATCTGATCTTCCTTTTTTTTCTCCCTCCAACTTCCACCCCCCCCCTTTCCCCTTTTCCTTCATACTTTATCTCACCCTGCTTTTCCTTCGTCATCCCTCCTCCTCCCTCCGCTTTCTCAAATCTGCTGACGAAGCAGTGAGAAGGAGCCGATGAATGACTTCTGTCCGTCTGTGTAAAACACATCTAAATACAACAGCTACAGATCTCTCTGGAACAATAAAGCTGCACACTGTTTTAACGAAGGCCGGCAAAAAGGGAGGAGGATTGCACATGATCAGCTGTGAATGATCACATATCAGATTCCTGTTCTTGTTTAGGACAGATTGTGAAAAAGCTAATCAAAGCTCCCAGAGCCAAAAGATAAAGCCTTCAAATATCTTGTCTAGGTTGCCCAACAGTCCAAAACCCACATTTTTGGCTCATCAACTAATCGAGTGATCGTGATTGCGTCATCAAATTGAAATTGACCAAACTTCCACTTTTGCACAAGCTCTTGTACAGCTACTTTAGAAAACATGTAATATTTGAGAACCATGGCCTCTTTTGTTAAATGAATAAAACGACTGCAGGAAGAACATCATCTATTTCACGAAGTAAAGCATCACAAAGCTTCAATCATTCCATATCAGTACTGAACCCCGAATCTTTAACTATATACTATATAGTTTTTTATACTGTAAACTGCTCAAGTGGTTCAAACTTTACAGTCCCCTTCATTAGTGTGTACAAGGACTTTAGGGAAAATAATGCAAAATAATGGTTGGTTTTCTGCCAATTAGCTCAACTGCTGCCAAGATTCCCGAGCATTTGCACGCTGTTTCCCAAACAGGAGAGCAGGAAACGCAACAAAGAACAAATAGAAAAACATCTCAAATACAAAGAGAACTGACTAACGCTGGTGCATGCTTACAGGCTGGATAGGCTATAACTGTATATATTAGGTATCTTATTAACTGCTCCGTTGTGAGGGAGGGAGTTGGACTTCCTCTGAGTGGTAACTGCTTTCTTCCACTAGAGGGCACCTGTCTCACTTTATAAACTCCTCTACCTCCCCTCTTCTCTCTTCAAGTCAAAAACTCACTTATAAAAACTCATTTAACAACGACAGAAAAGACAGACCTATAAATGTGTATTTAAAGAAGACAGGGTCTTCAGCGGTAAAACAAAAATCTGGATTAAAGAACCCCTTAGCAAAATCTATATGGATTAATTCTGCATGAGATCATTTCATGCTTTTGAAATTAACCCTTTTATATGATCCAATTTACTACAGGTATTACACAGGTCTACATACAAGTACAATTAATAAGATTTTCCATCTAGTCCAGTGTCTAACTACTAGGACCATTTCACCACGAGTCGTCTCCAGTGATGACCTGCAGTTCATCAAACAGTGTACTGGAGTGGTGAAAGAGAGGCGGTCACATAAAGGAGAAGTACAAAGTTAGTCTCTCTGAGGACGAAGCAGCACACAGTGACCCTTCACCTCCATCTGAATAACTTCTTTACCGCTGATGTAATCCACCGAGGTGATAGCACACAATCAGCCAGTCAATCAGTCATTACTCAGGTCATAAAACTGTACACTACAGTTACACTTTCAAAGGCAGATAGTGACACATTTCCTTGTTTTTCCCCTAACAAAATCAATGTAAAGCAATATCTGCATGTTAATGAAACCATTTGAATGTATTATTAGGTAATAATCGATGTTGTAATTTTCTTAAAATACTGCCTGTGGCACATAGTGTAGCTGTTTCACCTCAAATGGCTGATTTACTAACAAATGACAGACAGTATGAAAATGAGTTGGCAACCACTCGTCCTATTTCCAGTGGATACCAAACAGTGTCAGATATTACCGCGGGCATGTTTTTATAACCACATTTACATGGGTGGTGGGTTGAGGCCACAGGCTGCCACAGAAAGAGCAACCCGCTCTAAAGTGTGTTCAGACCTACAGCAACATGATGAACTAATCACTTTATCACCTAAAGATTCATCCCGTTGTTGGGATCAATGGTAAGGGCAAATGCTGGTGAAATTAAGTCAGCAATTTTTATAAACCAAGTCCAGCTTTAAAAAATTAAAATAAATAACAGGAAAGGGAGAAAGAGGGCATGACACACAGCAAAGGGCCACAGGTCACACTTGAACCCATGGCCACTACAGCAGGGACTGTATTCTCTTAATTTGTTGTGTGTGTGTGTGTGTGAGACGTTTCCGGGTGTTTCGGGATGTTTCTGCCCCCCGTCTGTATCATGGATGTATAACGAGCTTCAGGTCTGTGTGTCAGTGTGTGGTTGCCCGAGGGCGGACAGATGAAGCTACAGTTCAGTTGCATTCACAAAAAAATCCAGAAATAACCTTGCTTTGTTGTCAACTTGGAAAACAACGGACAAATCCTGCATTGTATACCTTTAAGATCACTACACAGATGCCATCAAAACCCCTTTCAATACCAACAATTAGTCGATGAATTGAGACATTTAGTCAATCAACAGAACAATTGATTATTTTCAGTCACAAATGTGAACCAAGATGTGCAGCTATTCTGTTTTATATCACAGTAAATTGAATATCTTTGGGTTTGGATTGTTGGTCAGACAGAACAAGACATTTAAAAGATTTTAAAAAAATATTTTCTGGCATTTTATAGATCAAACGACTAAATCCGTTAATCAAGAAAATAATTGTATTTCAAAAGGAAGAAATACTGTGAGTTGCAGCCCTTACAATAACAACCTTTTGTTGCTCTGTATGTTAAGACATAAAACACAAACATCACTCTGGTATCAGTAGTTCATCTCAGATACACTATTCAGATCAGTAGAGGAAAAATTCTGAACAATCCATCAGTGAAGCAACAAATAACCCGAGCTGCAACCACGGGACGGGACGATCAGTGAGATTTATGTTCAGATTGCAGCTCTGCACCTCAAGTTGCATAATGAAGAACATTTGCTGAGTGGTTTCTGGGTCGAAGAACCCTTTGTGGGCCTGCCAGTGTCGCAATGCAGGGAGGAGGAGGAAGAGGAGGAGGAGGAGGAGGCTTTAATTAACAGGAGATCTTTCCAACACACAGTTACTGCTTCGGCAGCTTGTCCCAAAGAGCAAAGTCCTACTGCTCTAGTTACACAGAAGCTCTAGTGTCTGCAACACTGTGGATGTGTGTGTGTGTGTGTGTGTGTGTTGTGTGTGTGTGTGTGTGTGTGTGTGTGTGTGTATAGATGCATTAATATAAGTGTGTGTATATTAAGTGATCAATATCAGTTTAAATAAAACTGAGTCATCCATTAAAATGAACACTAAGCGGTGTTGTCTTCAGAGAGACAGCGGAGCCTCGGGGGTGATTCATCACTTCCTAAAAGCCCTGAAGGAGGCCGCTCTGCATCTGTCTGATAAACCATCTGAAATATCATTACATCAGAGTCTTATTCTCCGCACATTAACTCAGGGCACAATAAAGAAGAACTACAAACACTGGGTTTTACAGATTAGAAGATTTTAGACTTGCCCTGGATATTAGAACTGTGGCAAGTCTAAAATCTGGTTTGGCATCATTACGGATATCAGATGGACTCTTAAAATAAATGAGAAATTGCATGAATTATTCACTTTTTAATAGAGAAAATACCCTCCCAAAACTTCCAGGCACAAATTAACTCATCAACCAATCCTCCTTAGGGTTATTTTCATGAATTGTGAAAAAAGTAGAACAAATTGCCATTACATAAGAGCGTCTTCAAATGCCTTGCAGTCCAAACCCCAAAGATATTCAGATTACTGTGATATAAAAAGCACACAAAAGCAGCAACTCCTCACACTGGAAAAGCTGGAAGCAGCAAATATTTGCCACTTTTGATTTATTAAACTCGCCTAAGTAAATAATTAGAGTGGCTGGTGGACAGAAAGTTCAACAACCTCTAAAGTCATTACAGCTCAAATTATGTGGCACAGAGGTTATAACTAAATGATATTCAGCACTTAGCTTCAGGAACATAAAATCTGATGCAAGAATGTATTGGGTGTGGGAGAGACTGTAAAGCACAAAATAAATCAGAGTGGCAGCATATTCAGTCAGTTACAGGGCGTGGTTGGCAGCTCTCTGTGTGTGTGTGTGTGTGTGTGTGTGTGTGTGTGTGTGTGTGTGTGTGTGAGATATCTATAAGGTCTATAAGGTGGTGTCTGGTTTCAGATTGGCACCTAGAATTATTTCCAGAGTAGAGAGAAGCTAAAACCAGATGGCAAAGGTAATCCAATTCGACAGCAAAAATGCTCAGAGGGCAAATAGAAGCATCAGTACAAGTGTTTGTAGGTGGTTAACAATTAAGAAAAACCAAACTCTCTCTGTTATCTAAGTATAAATAATATAATCAGTGTAATTAATAATTCAGTGTATTTTAAAAAAAGACAATAAAAAGGAGCTCATGTTTTTAACAGAACAGAAATAGTCAAACAAATCACATTTTACTTACCACATCGTAAAATGTAAAAACATAGATGAAATAAAATGATCAGGTACACAGAAATGATGTTTATCTGATGAGACGCACAAATGCAGCAAAAGCAAAGGCTGAAGCACAATGGAACACACAACCACACAAATTAAACCGCTAAATGCAAGGGTTAATTTTCAAAGAAAAAGCAAAAAGGGACGATGCAAGAAAGGAAAGGTGACACTAAGGAGAGAGGGACTAAATTGAGTACCAGCTGCTGGTTGGGTGGTTGGGAGAAAATTACTGAGGAGAACAAAAGAGTGAGGATGAAAATTATGCCGATGAACATGGAAGTGCCAGTGAAAACTGAGGAGGATGTGGGGGGGGATGGTTTCCATGCCTGGACTGGTATATTTTACCTGCTCTTATGTTCACGTTTGGCATCTTTAACAGTTTGCCACCCTCCGCACTCTTCTTAGCGACCGCCTCCTCTGGTTTGCAGACAGGGGAATGTGTGAGTGGAGCTTGGGATGGGGGCTGCTGAATGTCGAGCTTCTCCAGCTCTGCCTTGCTCTTCTGGGGGGAAGCCTGGGTGAGGAGGCGGTAGGAGCTCTGACTTGGAGCCTCTTCTTCAACCTTGGGGGCCGGGGCTTCGTTTGTCAGAAGCGGAGCAGCAACTGGAGCCACATCTTTCTGCCCAAAGCTTAGATCATCATCATCATCGTCATCATCATCGTCATCATCATCCATGGGGATCTCTGGGGGCTTGGAGGAGGCAAACTTGGAAGTATCCAGAGCCTCAAGAAACTCATCGATAACACCCCTGGGTGGTCGCTCAATGAACTCGAACTCCTCAGAGGAGACTTCATGCTCAGAGACCTCCTCAGCCACCTCTGGCTCCTCCAACTCCATCGTCAGGTCCTTCTTCTCCGTTTCCACCTGGAAGCTGGCAGGGTTCTTGGCCATGGCTTCCAGGACTGGTGACAGTGAGTCTGCTGTTGGCGATTCTGAATCGGAGTCCTCAGCGGGGGTCTTTTTGCTCATGAAGTCGAGTGGCTCAAACTTTTCCTTCATTTTGGGAGCATCATGGCTTGAAAACCAATCTTTCTGCTCAATCTTGACAGGTTCCTCTTCTTTGACCTTAGTTGGGGTGGTTTCCTCTGCCTCTTTGACAAGATCAAATGAGCCAAAGCTTTTGTCGTCTTCGACTTTTGCTTTGTCAGCTGTTTTCACTTCCAACTCTTCAGTCATCTCCTTTAGCAGGGACACTTTAGCATCAAAGGCAAACGGGTTGTTAGCGGACAGATTGATTGGTGGGTTGGGGGACTCCATCATCCTCCGTTCAAGAATAGGACTCTGCTCCTCTGGGCTTCCCTCTGAGGAGCCGGAGTCTATTTTGTCATGGTTGAGTGGAGAAGACTTCAGGATGTCTGGAAGCGATGGTGGCAGAGCAGAATCCTCCTCTTCCTCTTCCTCTTCATCATCGTTTTTCAGACCAGATGAGAACTGATTTACTGACTGCATGAGCGAGTCAGTAGCCGTCTTGCTCATCTCAAATGTTTTCCCCTCGTCTAAGAAAGAGGGTGGAATATCCTGGGATTCTCCACTCTGGCCATATTGGACCAGATCTGGAGTGGGACTCTCTGACATTTTTGAGGCCCTGCTGTCGGACTTGGAGTCTCCAAAATGGGAGTAGCCACTGTCCGCCAGTGGGGAATAGCCCTCGAATGGGTTATTATTCTTCTTCACCTCATACATCAGGTCATCATCTTCATCAGACTGGTTGCCCTGCAGGTCTTGCTCATACCTGGAAGAGCTAATGGGAGCTGTGTCCTTGGAGAAGGTATCCATGGAGACCTTGGAGTTGTCTTGAGATGCTAGAAATGGTGAATCCCAGTGCTCTGTTGGGTTAGAGGAGGCAAGGTGAGACTCAGGAACCATCATCTGGGGATTCACAGGGGAGGGGCCAGTGGAGGACCTGTCTGAGCTAATCAGCTTCTCCTCAGGTGAAAAGGAAACTCCACTGTCTTCGCACGGATTATGAGGCCCTGGGTCTTTCCCTAAACTCAGGTAAGGACCAGCTAATGGATCTAGAAGGTCTTCCTTATTCTTACTACGGCCTGGTCCAGAGTCACCCTCTTCACCCACCCAAGGCATGTCCTTGGAATGAGTAGTAGGGGGGTCAGTGGAGAAGGAGCCCATGGGTGCAGCAGATCCCGAAGTAGGGGGCTGGTTGGGACTCTCGGTCAGAGAGAGCTCCTCCAGAGAGTCAGGGGAGTGAAGAGGGGAGAGAGGAGAGATGGGAGCAGGGGAATCACCCTTCTGCCCAAGTGCTTGAGTAGAGAGGGAGGAGGAAGAATGCAATACAACACATATCAAAGACATACTCCATTCCTTACAGTGCCCACCACACCTGGGGAGAACCACTAGGACCAGACAAGTGCTGCTAAAAAGGTTAGCTGTGGCTGGTAGACAGTTCACGCACAGTTTGTGTAAATGATCATTTCTGTTTATTCTAAAAAGCCTGACAGTATGAAAACAACAGCCACCTGTCAAAAGCGTCACAAAGTGAGTTTTAAACTACCGTTATTCCAGAATCTTGATTCATGATTTTCCTAAAACTAGACTTTTGCAATTTATCGCCTTGCTTATAATATCGCAATTTATCACAATATATTGAATCGCAACCCCTGTATCATAAATATCGTAACACCAGATTATTGGCAATAAACAGTCTTATTATATTATAGTATGCAGTAAGTACAGTACGTCAAAACTGAAGAAAGAAGTACAGCAATTCCTCCGGCAGTGGTGGTAACTTCATCTTCTAGTTTTTCTTCTAGTTAGTCAATGACAGACTAAACAAAAGTCACTGCCTCTACTCTTTTTCCTTTTGTGAAGTGTGTGAACTTTTAAATGTCATAAAATATTCTACTGGAATATGTCTAGTAAAGTGGGATCTTTGATGTCCAGCGGTTTTCCTACTTGACTTAGTTCAAGAAATGTTAAAGTTTTTACTTTACTTATTTTAATGTAGCAGCGAAACTAAAGACCCTATAAAAAGAGGAGAACTATCTTTTTGTATTGGAAAAGGCAAATCAAGTACACCCCAAGTATGAAAAGAAGCATTTTTGTCTACTACTTTTAAAGCTTTATTAGTCAGCTATGCATTTTGGATCAAACAGGACTACAATAAACACAGAGAGAGCAGACTACCTTCCACAGTCAAGATTCAACAGCATTTGTCTGGTGGTCTGATCGGTCTATCACCATAGTTTAATGCATCGTGGTGAGATAATCTTTTGCCCCAGGTCTGGCGCCAATAAAACATGCCCAGTGTGTCTTACCAACACAAACTGTTATGTGATGGTAGATAATGATTCCTCACAAAGACCAATATTGTTTCAGGTCTGTCAATCACTGAGGAGAATCATTATTCATCTACAATTGTGTAAGTTCATGTCAATCTACTCTACAGCAACAATCACATGTGAGTCACAAGGCAGCACAAACACAAGCAAAGTCAAACATCAAATTTAGTGTTTCAAAGATACTCAGTACAAATCCACAAGCATCCTATGTCAATGCTATTATAGGTGACAAAAACCTACAGCTTCTTACATGCAAAGGGTTATTTTTGCCACTTAAATGACAAACAGGAGAGTGAACTCAAGAAGCAGTGAAAGAAAAATAAAAGATGGGGAAACACAGCGAGCAGAGAGAACTTGCCTGTAGGGAATTGCATCAGAGGATGAGGCTGAGCTTTAGAAGGAGAAGGTACATCTGTGGAAGAAACAAGAGAAAGCAGCAGAAAGTGAATTTAGTGAGCCCAGCAGAGAAAGACCAGGAGAAGTGACAGATATTCCCTTTATCACAAATGACTGTGGAAACCACATGCCTAAACTAACATAAAGGTACTTGTCAGAAATTCTTAGCTGGGACATCTTAATCACAGCTTCTGTGTGTTACATCAGTTTAGTTAAGGAAACCCAAAAGGGGGATACATGGGTGCCTTCAGGGTATTCTTAACCCAAATTCAAAATACTGTTCCCCAGAAAACACTGGCTAGCTAGCATGAAAACAGCCATAAGATGTTGAGATATTGTATATTTACACAGTTTACTCAACAAGTTCTGTCAGGTATGTCAACATTTGTTAAAAAGGCTCAAGGTTTCATTTGGTAGTGAAGGGAGGACAGAACAGACAGAAGGTCAGTGTCATAGCAAAACAGTTTGCTATGAAGAGAGGTAGGGAGGCCTGAAAGCATAAAAAGAGGAAGTTGTCCTGATGAGACACAAGAAGAGATAGAATTCCCCTCTAATGCGGAGGAAGTGACCATGCTTCATGGTTTGTAATTCTCTGAGTGAACAAGAGAGCAACAAGAGTTTAAACACAGGCATTTCAGCTACATGCAAAACCTCACACAAGCTGCATGCCACTAACAGAAATGTAAATGACAGTCTAAATAATGTAAAAGAGCTGTACAAATACTTTCAGAGCTTCAGCAGTTGGGCCACTGCAGCACATTATGACACATCACAGTTTCAGTGATTTGATCAGCGAGGTTGCCAAATCTTCATTCTGAGCTCCTCGGTTAGCTGAACCAAAAAGCAGACGGCTTATAAAGTCAAATTAAAACGAATGAAATTAAGGACAGAAGCCATTCCTGGCTCTTTAACCAAATTAGCTAAATTCTTTTTTTTATTAATAGACAACCGCATGACACTAAAACTATACAGGTAGTCCAAAGTGAGAGGTCACAGGAGGATAAAGGAAAATACAGCTCCTCAAACAGCCAGAAACCCACAAATAACCACTTTTACTTTAATGTTTTATGGATAGAAACTGAAGCAAGAGTCTCAAACTAAATGGCACTATTTTCTCGTCACAATACAATACAAACCGTATTTTGGTGGATTACAGTATTTTTTTATGGCTTGTAGTGGTTCGACTCTGCAATCACTCTTGCCGAGGTAGCCTGGGGCACATTTGACCACACATCTTTTGTAGTGTAAACACTTAAGGGCCACAATGAGGGACTGCCTGCTTACCTGAAACCTGTAAGCACACACAAAACACTCTGTCTATTTGGTTCACTGTAACTTCAAAAGCTCTCTTACCTGTCAAGATAAACAGCATGTGTTTGTGAACACACCGTTTTAACTAGTCACTGCAATATCCTCAGACCCACTTAAAAAAATTGCACAATTGAGAATTGAGTGAGGAGAAACTTTATACACTTTGTGAAACGCTGTCTACAACTAATTCTTCAGAGCGGGGGAGTCAAGTGGTTATGGTTAGACAGTGCTACCTAATCTACTGTCGTCCACAGTCTACAGGATGCTCACAGCACAGGTAAAAACATGACAATACAATTTGCCAAGTTGTAATAAAATCTAGGCTGAAAAACTGGCCCTAAGTGGTAGTCGTTACTGAATCCATGGTCATTTCTCCAAAGCATTATGGGAATTGTAGATATGCAGGGCAAATGATCTCTAGCACATGATGTCCTCTCCTTAGAACTGCCACAGAGCAAGGTATTTAGTAGAGCTGTGACGAAGCGTCGACGTATTTTTGATGTTGACACGTCGATGATGTTGAGGCGTTGCTACAGGCCTAGTATTTAGCTTAATCTCTGAGGTCATTAGGGCAACTCAGACAGAAAAAATATGCAGGTGCTGGGGAAGTGCTAGCAAGGCACTACATTTTCAAAAGTAGATGGGAGACAGCGGCTTGCATTGAGCAGCTCCCACTGTGAACATGAAGCAGGATGGGGCTCCTCGGGTTAAAAACTGTTTAAAGGCAATGACAAATATTTGCTGTTGTGATGCTGATGAACAAAGTTACAACGCACCATGGGAGGTCTCATCATATTATGAAAATAAAGAATGAAAATCAAAAACGATCACAGTAAAAAAATCTGCATATATCAATCTTTAGCTGATTATCAAATGTATTGGCAGAACACACAGAGAATCAGTTTGCAACACAAATTTATGCTGATTTTATAATCTGATAATCATTAGGCCAAAATGATTCTTTAGGCCATTTTGTTTGGTTACCTCTGCTGTCAAGGTTTAGTTTCCAGCCATGAAGAAGACCTGTAGGATGGAACCAATAGGACATATTTAACTACAGCGTAAACTCAATCAGTGTGAGATTTAAACAAAAGTGGATCCAAATATAATTTCAGTGCGGTACTGTCATGTTCAACATCCAACTCTGAGTTTTCACATTGAGTCTGAATGCGACAGGTCGTCTCTAAACACAAACTTACTGGTTATATATTTCTACTGATGCATATAGTCAGAAGTTTCTTATGCCCCCAAAAAGTCAATGATTCGAGTCATCAGTCGAGGAATTAGTTACCACTGTAAGTTTTTAACCAGGCAACTAAACATCCAGAGGGAGGCTCCAAATAGAGCTGCACAGCAGTATAATATGAATATTTCATATACTGCATACCGGTGAATGAAACAACAGCTAAAGCTCTTTTGTAGGCAGCGATGTTAATTGTGCAATGAAGAGCGCTGGTCGGGGCAAGCTGTGTAGCTGCTTGGAACTGGAGGGTGAGGCGAGGGGGTTGTAATCTGCAACTACACCACTAGAGGCCACTTAATCCTACACAATGGACCTTTAAATACTTTAAGCATTTTATTTTAGTTTATAGTGTTTAATACAACTATTAGAAATAATATAAATGTGGTTTTTAAATGTATTTTGAATTATTTTTTACTGTGTTACAGTTTGCACAATAAAAATAGTTAATCCTGATTCGTTCATATATAGTATAATTTTGTGGGGCCAAGAACCCAATAGTAAAATAAAACATTCTATACAGGATGGCATAAAAATTTTACTATATTTGATGTCATCTTGACAGTAGAATAAGACACTATAAACCTATATAAAGCTCCAGTCATGAAAAAAAGAAATAAATACTGTGATATACTGTGAAATCAAGCCCCTAACTCTGCCAGCTTCAATGCCTGCTCTACACACTGAGGTATTTGTTTCCTTGTGCTATAAGTATCTTGAGGAACGCCTCACAGCTTGACACTGATATATGACTTCAGGCCAGCGACTCACCTGCTGCCATCTTGTAAAATAAAGAACTCAATGTACGATTCTCTGAGAGTCCAAGAGTCTATAACGTCACTCTCTTATCAATGAAAAGTAAAACAACCCAAGCAGGTTGCTTCGGTTCCTGCTGGTTAGTTTGATGACAGACACAACATCTGCACTGACAATTGATTTCACTGTCTCTGCTGCGGTCTCCTGTCTCCAAATGTTATGTTATGTAATTCTGAAAAAAAAAAAAAAAAAAAAACATTGAACAACTTAACATTGAACAAAAAACCCATTAAGATGTGGGTTCTGTGGTGTTTCTGACTCTGAATGTTCGCTGACATTCAGATGTTTTGGGGGAAAGAGCACACCAAAACCAGAACCTCCTGTTTCTGGTTCAGCTTTGATCCATTTGTTTAATGTGTCTGTCTGCAGAGAGAGGACACAGAGTGAGAGGGAAACTGGCCTCCAGCAAAACCAAACCTCACCTAACCTTAACTGTCGTCTGAACGTCCACCCAGTTATAACATGCCCTGTGTGACTTACATCAGTGAGTGATGTCTGTTGGTCTCCAGCTGACGAGGTCAAACTGTGGTATTCCAGGATGATAATATTAAGTTCTGATACGCATCTCATTCTCTGGCTCTCTCTGTCGCTGCTACTGAATACATGAGAGAAGAAATAGTTCCATTACATGACTCACTTAATTAGTGAGCTTTAGAGCTGTTTGCTGTTGTGTTTCCCCCTGCTTCCAGTCTTAATGCTAAGCTAGGCTAACCGCGTCATGACTCCAGCTCTGTACTGAACACACAGACATGAGATTAATGTCTGAAAGTACTGACACAGCAGATATTAGGTTCTGATTTGATTTCATTCTAGATTTATATCGGTCTCTCAGCTTACAGAATATGTTGACCAGTAAGTAATTACTGCTTACTCACTAAATATCTATGCCTTTATAACCTGATGAAAGGGATCATTATCAGAAATGTGTTTTTGTTATGTGCTTATGTTAAAAAACAAATATCAGCATAGATACTACCAGACTTTTTAAAACTGAGATGTTGGTCACCGTAAACAACAATATGTTGATTTTGGTCACAAAAACTAATGTTAGCACTTTGTGGCCCTCTTTTATACTCCTGCAGTGTAGAAACAGGAAAACAAAGAAGAAAAGGCTTCCTCTTTTAAAAAGGTGGCTTTTTCTGCTTTTGTCATGTTCTTCACGGATTCCTCAAAAATGAATCCTGCAAGTCACTGGTAGCTAGTTCATCCGTTCACTCCCTTTCAAACTGGATCAGGTGCTTGTTTGTGATGTTAACAGGTTCGTCAAACTGCTTTATCTGCTTTGTCATTGTCTCTAAAACAGATACTTGTGCACATGTTAGTTAACCATCTGGTTGCCGTGCTGTCTGTAACAGCATTTATTTCTTTTGCAGTGCACCTTTTACTATTTGTAAATAATATTTTTGAATTAGTTGACAATTTCTTAAAATGGTTGAGTCATTAAGAATCTGGAAAGCTCTTCTCAACACCTCTGCAGTAAGACAAGGTTTTTACTCAGCTATAAGAAGGCACTGAAAAAGACACTATTTCCTGATCCACTGGTCAACCTGCCCAACAAAATGGCTGAATTTATTTATTTATTTTTTTACATAAAAACAGCTTTAACAGCCCTTTAATCAGCATTAATGTGATGAATCAGCACAACATGGGTAAGTATCATCTTTCACCACGCAGCTCTGGAAATCTTTGCCTATCACAGCGATAAGAGACGAGATTTAAAACAGATTAACACGTGGTTCTCATCATATTTAGGATTTTGACGCACTTCTAGACTGAAAGGCAGCTGCTGTGTTGGCAGTATAAAAACAGATAGAGGCCAGGCGTCGTTGCTTTGGGTGGAGGGGTCTGACTCTGAAGCACTTAACCCCACTTATGGCCAGCCTTCACCAGGATACAGAGAAAAACAACAACAGTGGACGGCACACACAGACGCGCTGAGCTTTAAGCCTCCGTGACTGTGTGTCTGACATCTCCCCTCTCCGTCTAATCCACCTGACCACATCCCAAGCTCTTCACAAACACACGCTGACGGATGTAGGTGACCCAAAAATAAGATGTAGGCCGGCGGTGATCACCGAGCCCCGGACGATTAGGCAGCCCGTCAGTCACAGTGTCTGAATGTCCAACAGAGGGGACAAGAGTTCACTTCATACACCTTTTTTGGGGTGACGACATGAATCTGTGTGTTGTGAAGTCACAGCAGGACTCACACACTCGTGTTCAGAAAAGAGAAGATAAATGCTTTGAGAAGACAAAAGAGTGAAATCCAGATAGTGTTATATTACTGGTCTTTGACAGCGAAGTTATGCCATGTTTCTAAATCATTAATTGACAATGTATGACAGACATCATTAATGTGACAGACTAATTACTGGGGCTGGGTATCTTGTAATGCTCAATACTAGTGCCAAAACGATTTTTTACTAGGGCTGCAACTCACTATCATATTCATTAATTAACCTGCCAATCATTTTCTCCATTAATCAATTAACCATTTGGTTTAGGGATGTCAGTTTTTTGGTTCATTTTGCTTTCAGACCATTCAAGTCTTGATGGAATAGTATTTGGTGGTTAACCACTGACATGGCTATTTTGGTCTAGAAAATGTCTGAAAGCAGTGAAATCAAAATATTCTACGGTACAAGCTTACGTTCATAAGAGTCTACTTACTATATCGTAAGACTAAGAAAAGCAGAAATGATCATGTTTGAGAAATCAAATGTTTCTCATTTCTGCTAGACTTAGACAAGTAATCTATTAACAAAATAGTGGTCGAATGAGAAATATGAACACATTTCCTCCAAAAACCTTTTTAACTTTTACAAAAGAAGCCAAAGTTAAAGCCAAAGCCCTTTCCTAAAGCGCACATTGACATCTTCAAATACACCATTTTATCTGACCAACACTTTAAAACCTCAAAGTGATCCGTTTACTAGAGAAACTGGAACCTAGTGACCAAAAATCAATGAATGCAGCTTTTACATTTCATGTTGACCCTTTTTGATCACACCAGATTGGTAATCCTCAGATTTTGGCACAACATAATACTGTACAAACAAAGACAACACAAAGCAGGTATGAGGGTGCAAAAGGCCAGAGGACCATCTGCAGTGATGGAAAATGAACAGAAAACACACTCAGTCTGTAATCTTCCTGAAAGGTGGATCAATACCAATGATTTCTTTCTGTCTTTTGTTCAGAGCGGTGACTGCGATGTTTTAACTAGAGCTTGTGGTTTTTATCCAGCTCCATCGGTGGCCTTGCCAAGCAGCCCCACCCTGCCTCTCTGCTGCCTGCTCCTGGCTGCTGTCTGTGCCTGGAGGAGGCGAGAGGGGCCTGTTTACCTGCTATCTGCCTCATCCGTATACACAAAAATAACAGCTCAGAATACACACATCCCAACATTAGCATCAGTACTACAGAAAAACACCACTTCAGGAGCATTCAGACGAGTAATAGCAGCTTAAAAAGGGTCACCAGAGGGCTCACAGGCCTCTCTGGCTAAATTGTTTTAGGATTTGAGGGTGTTGGTTTGGGGGGGGTGGGTGTGACTGACTGACTGAAAAACAGGCCGGCAATAGCATAAGAAATACAACGCTGATTTAAGGCGTTGACGTAGTATGGAAATGTTGGGAAGCAGACAGGGAGTGGACGTTGAGCGGATTCCTTTGTTGTGACTAATCTCTGGGTTACAGCTTTGGTACACCGTGCGCTGCTAACCGCTCCATGCTTCCATTATCGGACAGATCATTGTCCGGCGTGCTACTTCTTTGGTACTCACATCCGCCAACCTATAAATGATAATCTCACAAAGCCCCGTCTATGTTGTAGCTGCGAGATTTCGGATTAATAGGCGTTATGTTATAGTTAACGTTAGCTTACATCAACCTGGTTGCTGACAACCAACACCGGACACCAACGTTAGAAACCTCACACCATCGGGAGGTTGCCCTTCCCTTGAGCTTTGTATTAGATGGCAGTGATAGCCTTGACACCTGATAGCCTCTCAACACTGTTGTTTGTGGCTGCACTGACAAAAACCAAGAAGGAAAAAAAAAAAAAAAAAAAAAGTCTGTCCGATAATGGAACCCGGTTAGCAACAACGGTTAGCAACAGCGGGCACAGAGCAGATGGGCGCTGCTCAGTCTGACACAATAATGACCGTATAACGGTGAAATAAACGCATACATTCATGTAAAATGTTTTAAAAAGACACGACAGACATTCGGTTAATGGCGTCCGTTGTGAACACGCCGCTGAAGTCTGAATGGTGCAATATCGCCAGCTCATCCAGTCAACAGTTCACATTATGCTTCCTGCCGTTTATTTGTCCAAACAGGTGGGCCGCATCTCTACAACACAGCAAAACCGGGCTAACTGCTAGCTCCTCCAGCGGCATTATGTGCAAAAGAGAGCCAACATGGCTCCATTTTTCCAAATCCCATTCCCTCGTCTGGTTAAAAGTGTGGTTTTCCCATTCACAGTCCACCCAACTGTCAAACAGCAGGTCAGCTTCATGATCAAAGACCCTCCGCTCCCCTCAGGGTAGCACCACTAGCTAACCGGCTAACCTCACCGTGACGGAACTGTATAAATATTAACAATCTGGACAAAACCAACACTTTTAATACAATTTAACGTGTTCTGGTGAATAAAGTTGGTTAAAATGTAACGTTAGCGCTTCAACGCACTTATTTATCTGCATGTCGGCGTCTGGAAAAGCCCATAATGCTAACCTAGTTCAGATACAGACACTAAGATGGAAAAATACCGAAATATACCGTTAACTATACTAACGTTACCTTTCACCAACACGGTTTATAACATTTATATTTATTGATCTGCTTCAATTAATACAAACTCCTTCCTGCTATAATTAGTCATATTTTCCCCGTTTGAACACTCACACGATGCTGGAGCCGGTGGTTCCTCTGTCACCGCAGGTTGCTCTGCTGCCTCTGCGGGGGCTGGGGCTGCTGTCCGGGGTTCAGCCACTGGGAGGGCGTCGCTCGCCGGGGCAGGTTCTGGCTCGGGGGCAGCCTGTGGCTCCGGTACGATCTTTGTACTCTCTGGTTCGACTTTGGGGGCGACAACTTCGGGTTCCTCGGCAATTAAAGGGGTCTCAGGAAGAAAAGACAGGCTGGTGGAGTCTGGGATTGCAGTCTCTACCTCAGGCTCCGGTTCAGGTTCCTTTACCTCTGGTACTGACACTGGCTCTGGCTCCGTTACGTGGAAAGACTCTGGTAATGTTACTGGGTCCTTTGCAGGAGCGGTGGGAGTTTCTGTGAACTCATGTGGCGCACTATCTTCAGCTATGTGACGGTCCAAGGCGTCCTGAGCCCCGCCGACCAGGTCCACAATATCATCCACGCTGAAGAGGTCTTGTTTGGGCTTGTCCAGCTCGGAGTCCGGCTCGGCCTCAGCCTGGTAGTGGTGCACCTCCTCACTGAACAGAGGAGTGGTGGAAGAGACTTCATGCTCCACGCTGTCTGCCATTTTTTTTCTAAACTGTTTTCTGAGGTGGAAAAAGTTTCAGATCCGGTAAATTCTCGCCTCCGTTACCTCCTGGAACAAACTCCCACCGAGATGAGCTTTGAAACCGCGCCGGTAACTCCCTCCGGTAAGTCTGCTTTTGACACCGGACGAAGTTGGACAAGTGCGCCACACGACAGTTACCACAGAGTCGGACCCGAGTCTCAGATGGACACTGAAGTTGAGAAGGAGATGAGGGAACTCCATTGACCAATTACCTGTGGCTTAACTACTGAGTGACACGAGCTGTGACCAATCAGAGCCTGTCAAAGTAGACGCCGACCCCGCCCACCAGAAAGGAGGCGTAATGGGACACCTCCTCCATCAAACCACCTCTAAAATTTAGGAGGAGCACAGAGTTCAGGCAGTCCTGTTCTGACATAACTTGTGCTCCAGCGGGGCAGTTATTACATAACTTTAACACAGTCTTTTTTTTTTTTTTTTTACACCAACTCGTCCTGCTATGAACACACAACCTTTAAGAAATGTCACACAAAGACAAGCAGTGCTGGAAGATGTACTCAGAACACATAGTAAATGTAGGAATACCATAGTTAAAAGTCATGCTTCAAAATTCTCACTAAAAGTACACATCTATTAACAACATATACTTGAAGTATCAAAAGTTAAATTACTTGTTACAAAGAATGACTACTTCCAAAGTTTATTTAAACTCATTTGAATTAATTTTAACTGCTTTGGTATCATAATCTATAACAATTCATGATAATTTATAGGTTGATAATGTGTTTTTATCGAAAAATATACATATATTTAAGATTTGAATTCTTTATTTGAGAGTGGAGAGCTGACAGGAAGTGAGGGGAATGACATGCAACAGTCCCGGGCAGACTGGAACTGGGACGTTGTGTTCCATGTCAGAGGGTAGCAAAAATATTAAGATGGAAATTAATTAGCAACTAAAGTTATTAAATAATGTACTGAAATAACATAAAATAATAACAAAACATGTAAAAATTGTATTTAAGTACAGTACTTAGAGCTGATCTACACAGTAACTTTCCACCTCAGAACACATTCTAGATGTTTAAAAAGGCGCGAAAGAAAAAATCCTGCTGCATTCAGAGAACCTGGGGTAGTAGTTTAAACTGCCTACTTGCTTGTGAAACTGGGAGATATTTAAAACCCTGATCAGCTTTGAAGGTACTTCTGACCTCCAGACTTTGCCTACATAAAACACAGACTAAAACTAGTAACATTTTGATTCAAACCAAAGAATAAGACTAAAGAACGAAAAAGAAAAATGTTTTAATGTCTCCCTGGTCAGCATTCAGAGACTTGAGATGCAGTTCAGATGCACAGCAACTGTATGAGCTAAAATCTGACTCAACAAAATCTAAAAACACACTGGATGAACAGTCTCTGGATCCAAGGAGGTCTGAACAGGACCTGGGGGCTTCCCAGTAGAGTTAGAGATCAGTGCTTTGCCGAAGGGAGCTTTGACGGAGATACATGAACTTAAAATGAAGGAGAGCTCGCTTCAGTAAGAGTTGTTTCCTCTCCGCCATTGCAGCATTGCACAAACTGCCTCTCTGACAATGCTGTTTGCTGGAATGTATGAATGTGATGGGGACTGTCTGCATGTTCACAATGCTAACATGCTAACATTTAGCATGTATAATGTTTACCGTGTTCACCATGTTAGGATGCTAACATTTGTTATTAAGCACCCAAAGTACAGCTGAGGCTGAGGGGAATGTCATTAGTTTTGCAGGTATTTGGTCATAAACCAAAGTATTGGACACATTAAAATGTTGACCTGGTGATGGCGTTAGATAAAAGTCAAGGATCACCAAAGTCAGGAATATTCATCCTCTGTGGACCACGAATATCCGTGCAAACAGTTGTTGAGATATTTCAGTCTGGACCAATAAACAGACCAACACTTCCATACATGAAGCCATGTGCTGCTCGCATGACTAAAAACTAAAAGCTGCCTCACCAAATGTTTTGATCTTGCACTTTATTTTGAAATGTTTAATGTGTTTTATATTCCAGTTTCTCCACAGAGATCAATACGTTTCTTCAGAGAAAGATGAAGGTGAAAATGTGGTTTTGGAAGTAAGCATGAAGCTGTAGAGAGTCAGGGAGCTCAGTCTGAGATATAGAGTTACACAGCATACTGATGACAGGCCACAGTCTATATATAACATGTGAATATATATGTCTGTAAGAATATATGGCTGCTTCAGAGCTGGAGCGGGCCATCATATGATCACGTGAGAAAGACTGCGCGATGGTGCAGGAGGACAAAAATGTCTCAGTCTGACACGATGAGATTTGAATAATTACATATTGATAGTAGAATTGATTAGATTTGAATGTTTGTTTAAGCCTAAAATAATGTTTTAACTCTAAATGTGAAAGAAAGTGAAGGAACTTTTTAGGATTAAAACTGTTAGCTAAAAGACAAGATTGTGTGTGTATTGTGACTGCATTCATTTACAATTAATGTATCTATTAGGTATTGTGTGTGTGTGCCTCTGTGCCATCCAAAAACACATCAGTGAGCCAGACTGTTGCACTGGGTGAAATGTTCCTTCACACACTGTAGTTTATTTTCCTCCTGCCCCAAATAGAGCACCAAATGTGGATTCATCCGCCACTGAAAATAGTCCCCAATAAATGCACTATTTCTTCCTTTTTGTTTGATAAAAACTACTGTGAGCATTGAGTCTTTTTTTAAACATCAAACTATATATTTGTGAGCTATGAAAGAAACCCACTTTAAGAAACAAAGGAAACAGAAGCTACCATAAAGAGAGGCTGGGAGTTTGGCTTGCTATATTGTACATATAATGTTATCACTGAAAGCATTTAAAAACACAGACCCAATTATAAAGAAAAACTATGCTGTCCAGAACAGTGTTGACGCTAATCATGAGCTTTAGCCTCAGAAATGGAGAAAAAATGAACGTGTAATGAGTTCAAACATCTAACTGATGTTAGTTTCTGTTGAATTGTTGAGTTGACACCTGGGATAGATTTGTGCAAAAATAATGACTTAACTGAGGTATCCTGTTTCTTTGAGAAAGAGAAACCTTGTTTTAACAGAGGTTCATAAGCTTTATACACATTCTGGTGTTAACAAACTGTGTTAAATATCAGTGGATCTTCAGGTTTTTCTTCTGGAGCATCTGGAAATTGAATATGCTAATTGTGCTTTCACTGTGTTTAGCATTTTACAACCAACTGGAACAGACTTTGTACGTCACACATACATTACTTTGTTTTAATGATACTTTAGCATCAAATCATACAGCCAAAATCTGTTTATAAATCACTGTACATTAATGGTTTCACAGAAGGACTCCTGACAGTTTTGATGGATTTTTCTCAAAGAAATGTCTTTCTTTGCCTAGCTCAGAAGGTCTTTTAAACTTTTTTTGTACATCGTTGTCTGAACGAAGGCTGCCCGATGCCGAACAATCATTTACGGTCTCCGTTATTACTCTCCAAGTACTTCTTATTTGTTATTACGTTGGACTGCTTGGCAGTCAGTGTTTTCCTGTGCTGGCTGTACAGCTCTATTAACTTTCTTATCTCGATGTCCATGATTGCCTTTCTTTGATCCTCCATAATGTTGCCGCAAATTACGAATAATTAGCTATAAATTAACAAGACAGCTGTAGATTGTTGACAATGTATCCTAGCAACGCATGCTCCTAGGCAATAATGATAGTGGGCATTCACATAGCTAAGACTATAGGCTTAATTTTGCTTGGTGCAACCGATGCAAAGTCCATTCTACAGAACAACTCAAGACCAGTTGGTGTGTGTTTGAAGGACTACATTATTTTGGTTGAGTCACTGGAACAATCTGTGCTGCGTTTATGGGAACAATGAGCTATTGATATCAGTGCAAAATGGTAGAGATTTGAGTAATAAAGGGGGAAACCCTTTGGGGAGTCACAAAGGGGATTTTATGAGAAGTCCATACTATGATTTTCTCTCATGAAGAGAAAAATGACTGTTAGAATCTGAAAGCTTAGAAATACTGAAACTAGGTTGAGAGAGGCAGAGAGCTTTTGACAGTTTGTAATTGGTGTGTGAGGTTTCATGTCGGTGAGAAAGCTTAAACTTTACTGAAAAATCCATCCAAATCCCAAAAAGTTTCAGAGACATTCAAAGCTGCAACCTTTGGTCTGAGTTGAGGTGTAATTTCCACCAGGACCAGATGAACTGATCATCAGGCGGCCCCTCGCAGTATCTCATGCTGAGAATTTTATTTAAAGACACAGGAAATGAAAGCTAAGATGTGGACCAATTCGGTGGGGGGTCGGGGGTTACATGTCTCTATCATCCCTCTGTAGTATTCATGTTGCAGTTTATGGTTCAGAAACTGGAAGCACGTTAACAAGGTCTGAAGTTCCACTCCACTGAGTAAAATGTAATGAAAAGGGTCACAGTATGTAAGCATAATTAGGAAAATGATTATTATTTTCTCCATTAATCAATTGATTGTTTGGTTTGTAACAATTCTGTCAACAGTGAGAAATACAGTCACATGATGAAATATGACTTATACCATGGTTTGGTTAAATACTCGGTTCGGTATTAACGTGCTCTCTGAGTTGAGGGAACTAGAAATATCTTGTGTATCCAAGTCATACCACATCTTTCCCGTTTTGTTGTGTTCACTTCTTGTTTCAGCTGAAAACAAGAGGACAGAATCAGTTTTTGCAGGTTTAAATATTCTCTTCAGACATTTTTTAAAAATACTCTTGCAAAAAAAGTTCCGTTACCGTGTTAAAAATTCGACCTCCTCCTTGTCCCTGATGTAAAAATCCAGGATCTAATGTAAATATTTTTTATTTCAAAAGTTTAACTGTTGGACACAAGATGTCTGGTGCTTCACTGAAAAGTTTCCTGAAGGCTTCTGGCTTCGACATCACACTTGTTGAAGTTACGTACTGGATCCTAACTAAGGTTCCGATACATGTAGTGTAGCCTACTATTTCATGTCAAAATTGCTGCTGTGAAAAAGGTCTATTGGCTCCAAAGTAGTTGCAATGTTATAAATCCTGCACGTTTATCCAGGTGTTAGCTTCAAAAGCAAGTTTTTGAATGAAGGGGGGGCTTTAATGATTTTCAGGTATTGTTAATTACTTCAGGGAATAATTTGCAGATATTTGTTCTTCCAGAAATTCCAGCTATTTTTTG